TCTCTCTGTGTCGGGATTTCGGATATAGGGGGTTTTCATACACACACACACACACACACATATATATATATATATACATCTGTGAGTGTATATAGGGGGGTTTTTGATCTGTTACATATATATATATATATATATGATCTGGTTTTTTTCTTGATTTGGTTTTTTTTCTTGATCTGTTATTTCCCATACAGATCTGCCTAGTACTGCTACTCATACCAGCCTCTCTGCTGTGGACGAACACGACAGCCTTCTTTTAGAAGTAATTGGAGAGTAATTCAATTTCTATCCTTTAAACTTTACATTATACCAGCCTCTCTATTGTTTCTGTACCTCTTCCACTTGATCATGTTCAAGGAAATGCACCAAATGGGATCAGGTTTCCCATTATTCCTGTGGCAAAATATCATTCCAAAGGATAACTGTATTATCATTGTTAATTTAGTGGGCCATGAAGCTCCTGCCTCCCAAAATGGGGAACTTTGGTATCAAGGTGGGGAGTGTAGGGATGTTAGGTCAAACGAGGATGGCCTAAAGAATTTAGGTGTGATTTATCGTTTCCCTTAACGACGAAAGGGTGGTCTAGTTGGGTTATTTTGTAGATAAGATTGGCTTGTCTTTTGTATGTTTTAATAGTGAGAAGGGTGACAAAAGATGGGAGGGTCAGTTTTGGAGGGAAAGGGAAAGTGAGGGTAGAAGAAAGGGGCTTTTAGGGAACTGATAAATTTGGTTTGTGAGGTTCATTGTGATAGTGGTTCTAGGGAAGTGAAAGGTAGAGAGAATTCTAAATGAAAATAATGAGTTGGAATGTGAGAAGACTGAGGTCCAAGAGAAAAGGTTTGAACTCTAATCAATAATTAAGTATTGACTAGACATTGCCTTGACATTGTTATTTTGCAACAAGCAAAAATTGAAAATTTTGATAGAAAATTGGTTGAGAGTATGTGGGCAGTATTTAGGGGAACTCAATATCTATCAGGTTAGGAATATTGATAACAAGGAAGGGTTTGACAGGAGTTTATGGTCCTAATAACCCTAGCTTGAGAGACTCTTTGTGGTCTGAGTTAACTTGCGTTTATGGCTTATATTCTCCTAGTTGGCGTGTTAGGAGTGACTTTCATGCTATTGGATCGGTTTCGGAAAAATTTAATAGGATTAGGGTTACATTTTGTGTGAGGAATTTCGATACATTCATTAGAGATTGTTATTTGATTGATCAATGCTCATTTCACTTGGTCAAATCTTCAGGCTAATTTGGTTAATTTGGTTTGTAATATATTGGATAGCCTTTTCTTTTCTGTGGACTGGTATAATAGGTTTCAAAATGTTACAGCGGGATGATAGGTTTCCAAACGTAGGTAGGAGGTGATTCCTACAGTTGCATGGATCATTGTCTTGTGACTTTGGACAGTAATCGTTTTAAATGAGGTCCTACGCCCTTTCATATTTGAGAAGAAGTGGTTGGCTAAAAAGCATTAACACTTCTAAGAATGTAACATATCCGTGTTGGACAGTTCAGAACTGAGCTCTGAATTATATGTTGGAACAATGTGGTTTTGTATTGTTGGAGAAACAATAAACCAAAATTTAGAACCCAAGGCTTTTCTATTTGAGTTTTGTGGATAATGTTTTGTGCTTCTGGTTCACTTCTCTTTTATGAAATTTAGAGCATCTCCCTCTGATTATCATGTCCAACGAAAGTCAACCTGATAAATTTATCTGTTTATTGAAAAGTTCGGCACTTCAAAATGTCATGATATTTATTTTACTAAAAAATGATATATTACTTTACATTGTGAATAGCTTGATTGCTTGTGATGTTACGTTTACTTCGCATTTTCTTGGATTGACTTTACTAGTAGAATCATAAAAGGCAATTATTTACAATATTGAAAGAAATTTGCGTTGTATAGGGTATGAGCCTAGCTGTTTACACTGCAGTGAATCATTCACAATGCTTTTTGTCTAATCACTGATCTCCTTGGACTGTGAGAGGTTGATGCATTATTACAAAAATACAATTGTACCTCCTTTTTCGGCTTTTCATTGGCAAGAACAGATATCATCTTCTTACTCAATACAATCACAGAACATGACTGAATTGCTTAATTTTATATGCTCTCAGCAGACAGTACTGCCTCTGGTGGTGGATTTCCACCCAAAAAAGAATTAAAAAGAACAAGCAATCTCTCTGGTTGTGAAAATGGAGCTTCATGCGCAGCTCCTCTAATGGTGGCAAAAGATAGTATATCACCATATACTTGTGTCCATCCAGCGACTTGTCTCCCTTCAAACCAAACTCTGTATGGAACAGTGGTTTTCAATTCCAACTCCTTTGCCAATTCATTCACCAGTGTACACGTTCCAAGTAATGGGATAACTGAATCTCCATCTCCACTGTAAGAGTTTTTTATGTAATTTTCGTAAGTAATTCTATGAATGAGATCTTAAATGATTTTTAAGTTTGTGCATACATTATGAAGGAACTCACCTGAAAACCAAGACCCGAATACCAGACTTGACAAGTGAACCCAGTACATGAATTGTTGGTATCTCTAGGTTTTTCTTCTCGTAATGGAGAACACTGTTGGCAATAGAGTAAAACACACAGATTATGAAAACACAAAGGTTTTAAATATTTCACTTAGACTGTGTTTGGATCATGGATTTGAATAAGGAAAGAGAAATGTAAATGAAATATAAGCTAAATCCATGATTCAAACACAGCCTTGGCAGATCCCATTCAATCTAATCTACCCATTTCTCAACTAGGCTGTGGAGGCTACACAATTCGTGTTATATATTCAAAATGTTTTTGTTGATTCTATATAAAGATGGGAACTCCGAATATGATTATTGTGTTGAAATTATTTTTTTCTTTCTTTCTTTTTTTCATTTTCTGCAACAAGATGAGGATTATTACGTGCTGTAAACACTCCATGCAGTGACTCCAACAAGCCACGCATGGGAAGCTTTCTGTACATCTTCCCGGTTCAAGTAAGTAACCGTTTCATCTTCTACACAGACATCTATGTTCTTTGTATCTTGCTGTAAATGAAGATTGATATAGATGGAGCCAAGACTGATTAACACAGTAAAAGAAGAGGAAAACAAGAGTTTCCTAAAGATAAAGAAACAAACAAGTATAGGAGAGCTGGAGATCTAGGCCTACCAATTGATTAAGAACCTGTGCTTCATGCGCAGCTCCTTTAATGGTGGCAAAAGATAGTATATCACCATATACTTGTGTCCATCCAGTGACTTGTCTCCCTTCAAACCAAACTCTGTATGGAACAGTGGTTTTCAATTCCAACTCCTTTGCCAATTCATTCACCAATGAAATATAAGCTAAATCCATGATTCAAACACTGCCTTGGCAGATCCCATTCAATCTAATCTACCCATTTCTCAACTAGGTTGTGGAGGCTACACAATTCGTGTTATATATTCAAAATGTTTTTGTTGATTCTATATAAAGATGGGAACTCCGAATATGATTATTGTGTTGAAATTATTTTTTTCTTTCTTCTTTCTTTTTTTCATTTTCTGCAACAAGATGAGGATTATTACGTGCTGTAAACACTCCATGCAGTGACTCCAACAAGCCACGCATGGGAAGCTTTCTGTACATCTTCCCGGTTCAAGTAAGTAACCGTTTCATCTTCTACACAGACATCTATGTTCTTTGTATCTTGCTGTAAATGAAGATTGATATAGATGGAGCCAAGACTGATTAACACAGTAAAAGAAGAGGAAAACAAGAGTTTCCTAAAGATAAAGAAACAAACAAGTATAGGAGAGCTGGAGATCTAGGCCTACCAATTGATTAAGAACCTGTGCTTGTGAACCAACGGATGATGAGCAGACATCGAGAGTGACATCATATTTGTCGATAAATTTACTGATCTCTCTTGAAACTTGATTGTTTACTCCAGAACAAATAGGGATAAATTTACTGATCTCTCTTTAAATGAGGCTCATAACAATAAGACAAAGGCATTTCCTTCATTTATCATTTATTTTTCTTGTGTATCTAAAGGTGAATGATGACCAGATTATTCTTGATAAGACTGTTGCTGATCAAGTATCTATATGGAAAAGCAGCAGAGGCCTAACTGATAAGGTGGTCCCCAATCATGATTGCTCTGGAGAAACATGTTCTTATTATCAAATTGGAGATGTATTCGTTTGTGAGAAGACCGGACAGGTCCATGGTATGCATCACTAGTTGTGGTTATTGAATATAGCAACCTTGCTTGTTTGTAAATTTGGTACAATTGCATAGATTTTTATACATAACTTGATTGAAGTTTATTGGTTTATGTTCTTTGTTCATGCAGTTTGTGATGATACATGCAGAGAAGCTGTTTTGGACCCTACAAATGTGCTTTTGGTTTGTACAATATCTGGGCACTGCTTTGATCTATTACTGTCACCATCTGAAATGGAGCCGGACACTGTAAAAGAGATCTCCTTTAACTTGTACTTGGTGTCCTTTGTCATATAGCACACTTACGTTTTTAATTTCAGAGGTTTCCTGACTTTCATTGTGCACCATAACAGTCCATGAACTATAATATCATTTTAGTATTACAATTTCTAAAACAGTGCACGCTACAAGACTGCTATCGTTCAGTTTGCCCATAGTCATTTTATAGTCACGAGGTTTGAGTGCATCATGTGTTCCATCACAGTATGCTTGATATCAGGGAATAAAACTATAAGACTTAGAGAGGCTATATACAAGCACATCTGAATAATTACAAGGGAAATTGAATGCCAAATCCTTTGATTCTTTTGAGCATCATAGTGGGGACTGTATTTTTTTATTGTGTGTTCAATCAACAGAGTGGGTTGTGGTCTCTATGCAGTGTACCATCACGAGTGCACAGCTAAACTGTAGGGTTCTATCCCCCTAGTTTAAGTCACCCACTTCTTCCCAGTCTTCTGTAAGTCCTTCGTTTTAGGCAGAGTCAGACTTTTGGGTTTAAAGATAGGGTATGTATGTATACTAGGTATGTGGTAAAATTGACAAGAATAGGGTATGTATTAAGATATCTGTAAAACTGGTTAA